TTTTGCTGCTTGCGCTGAACAGCGGTTTAGTGCCGATGAAGGTAGCGTAGGTAGCAATGATACGGCCGTGGACTAGATTGGCTTTAATCGGGTAGGAGTGAGTACACAACGGGCAGTGTGAGGAAGTGACCGCAAGCCAGTCCGTGGAGGGGGAGTACTTGTGTACGACAAGTCGGTCGAGGCGGGAGTGAGCGAGGGTGGACTGTGCGTCCCACCGACCTAGGTAGGCCTACAGAGGGCAGCACTGAATGCCGCGAAATATGAACTAGTCAGAGCAGACGGCTAGGCTGTGTGCTCTGACAGTACAGGCTGTCTACAAATCACCTAAATCAAATATATTTAACAGGAAATTGGAAGTTACTGTTTTCAAACAAAAATATTTCTTTCTGGCAAATAAGAATGTATTTTTCTGTAATTTTTTGTGGAAAAGTTTATTCAATGTTATGGGAACTTCCAAAGTTGTTGGAATTTCTCAATTACATTCTGTCTAATTAACAATGAAATATTCATCTACAGATCTCCAGGTGGTTAATCACTTTGATCTAAGCAACAAGCAGAGTAATAAACAGTAAATACTGCTTTACAATTATTGTCTAACCAGAAAATGGGAATTAAAGAGGATGGACGGTAGGTTAATTCGCATAAAAACGAAGGGGATGGCCCCTAACTCATTCCATAAGAGCCCAAACAGGGGCACACCCCAATTTTAGCTACCTTGGCTCTATAAAAATTATGAAAAAACGCAATGCTTTAGCAGACAATGGTCCAACATAAAGAGTGGGAAGACATGCACATACCAAAACATCAATTTTGTGCTTAAGTTAACTTCAGTTTATGCACAAAGAATTACGGCATTTAAAACAGCACAGAACGTTCATATAAGAATCCGATTTAAGGTTATGTACATTACCTTCAATTATAAATGAATAAAGTTTGAACAAAATAAGCTATTATTATATAGTGAAAGGTTATCATGTTTTATAATTATCAATTCTAAGATATTTTTTTCCAGCCAAGATGAACTGGGAACTAGAAATCCGGCTTCCGACCATTTTGCAGGGTTATTTCAAGCCCACGTGTGGCTAAATATGGCATTGGATTCTTGTGCTGTTCGGATTGAGTATCGGTGTTGTGCTAACCTAGCATCAAGTCTGGTTTACTTGTCTGTCCTACATGGGATAGGTTACCTACACAATTTGTCATGGGAATTCTTGGTCAACATGCTTTTAACTGGCTGTGAATTCTTAAAGACGACCTGTATATTAAATCTTTTTAGGGTATTCGGAAGGAAAGATAAATTCTCATTGTATGGGGGAACTATAACATTCTTAATCTGAGGGGGTTATCTTGGGTTCGGTTCTATAATAAGTCTTTCTAACTGCTAACAAAGCCGCTTCTACAAACTCCTCGGTGTAACGTAGTTTTCCTGAAATTTCAAAGTTTTTCGTAATGCCCCATCAAGAAACTCAGGGCTGCACACTCGAAAAGTTTTTAGAAATGAAACTCCTTGTTACTCGTGTTTCTTGGCTGGAGTATTAATGAAAGTAGGAGCAAGCATTAGTGGCCTTCCTAATATAGTATGAATTTTTAAATTTCTATCAGCCCGGTGTATTAAAACATCTAAGAAGGTGAGTTTAAAGTCCACTTCTTTCTTCAATGTGAATTTAATAGACGAGTGAGTTAAATCTCCCTTAAAATGTAACCAGATCCATAGAGGTCGGCCATAAGCATGGAATGTCATCTACATATCTGAACCACCTGGCTTCATGAGACGGGATATCTTTCAACAGTCTAAAAAAAATCTCCATATAATTATTATTTAATAGGGAAGACAATGGATTTCTCATAGCCATTCCTTACCTTTGGACATAATACTTTCCCTCAAACATGAACCTGTAATCCACTACACACAACTTGGTCAACTCAATAATAATGTGCCTGGGAAACGACAAGGGAAAACCCATCTAATTCTTCTTCAAGATAGGATAACAGATCATGTACTTGGACACAGGTAAACAATGCAGAAGCGTCAAATCTTACTAGAGTAAAGTCATTAGAAATATTCAGGATCTGCAATATATCAATGACTTCAACATTGTTTTTATGTGAGCTTCCGAGTTGTTACCTAGAATTGGTGTTAACACAAGTTATATGTCGCAGACCCCACGGAGTTAATAGGTCTTAAATGGAAATCCCTGGCTTATCATTTACGAAGAAGAAGAGCAGGAAACCCTAGATACATCCTTGAAGGACTCCTCATTCTATCAACGAAGGTTCTTATTTGATATTATTACCTCTAATAATACATTGCCTGTTCAGCAGCCAATGACAAGAAAATATTACTTACCTCTCCTAAGTGCCTCTGTTTCCTGGGATATGCTGGAGGCATTGGACTGGGGGTTTGGAGGCTGGGTGGGCAAGGCCTGGTGAAGGGTAGGCAAGGCCTGAGGCAAGGTGGGCAAGGCCTCGCAGCAGCTTACTACCATTGCCACCACCCCAATCACTACTAAAACCGCTCCCATATCCAGTTTACTTGTTACTATAGGCAATCGTAGCTTCAAATAACCCACAGGTAACCTAAAGCACGTTTTTACACTGTTTTGTGAATTTGCTCTTAAATCTCTTCTGGTGCAGTTTGTGGGTGCACAAAAGTATTCCGATGTGTGATAAAGCAAACTCTTTGTCTTATAACAATTATTTTTGGTAAATTTGGTTTTCACTGATATTGTTTGTTCACTGTTTGGACGACACACACTGTGGAGCAATGGTTTAAAATACACAGAGCGACGCTGGTGCTCCTCTCTCTCGCTACATCTCTCCCAGGAGCAGGACCAAGCATCCTTAGGAAGTGCCAATCCGTTATTACTGCCATATACTGAGCATTCTTGGCTCTCTGGAGGGGTCTTGACACTAGTGTCATAAACTGGCTGTTTATTACCCTCCGGAAGCGCCAGGATGCCACCACTGCCAAGAAGCGACTGATCATTATCGTAGCAAGTGCCAGCAGCAATGTGAGTGAAGCACTTGCTCTTAGGAAATTTAACAGGCATGTGAGTGAAGATATTGGCCTGGTACATCCACTTCTCACTGGGCACAACAGACCCTGTGCCTCCATCTGTCACATCTTTACCTGACACATCGCTGCCGTAGACTCCTCCTGGTCCCAGGCAACCCTGGTGACCTGGTATCCACACGGCTTCAGGAGTGGTCATTGATAGGGTCCCTGATGCCCCATCCATCCCGCTCAGGTGGTACACGGTAGGAGTCACATCCCAGCCTGCAAGGAAACATAGCAATGACAAAGGAACGTCTATTTAATACTTCAATATCAATTATAATTTTTAACAGATTATGCAGCCCATTTTGACGTGAAGAAATGCAAAGTGGAAAGTATCCACTTATCTGGAGGTTACCTTAGGTTCATAAATAAAATCTTGAAGACACTTTTCAGTAGACTTCAGCATTAGCTTTTCCAGTAATTTAGCTCAGTCCTGAGCGAAACGTCAATCTGCGTGACGTGTTTTTATATCCACCTAAAGGTATATTTCCCCAATCGCATATTTTGTATTTGTTTCTCTGGTACTGAATGCTGAAGTGTTAATATTGCATTTCAGTGTCATTTATCTATTCTGTATTAGCAATTTTCTCTGTCATTCGCATCGTCTTTAGTCAACCATCAAACACATTGCTATGTATATCTATCAGTCACAACAACCTCCTACGACTTGTCAGTCACATAAGCCCTGATTACCTGTCAGTCGCATAAGTACTATCTGACAACCACATAATCCCTAACCTATTGGCAATCCTATCAGCTCTGATCATCTGTCAATCACATCATCTATGACCACTTGTCAAACGTACAACCTCTCCTAACTTACTGGTTATCAGAACACAAACTCTAAATGCGCAACCTTCGTTAATGCACAGCCCCGCCAAACGCACAGTTTTATTGAACACCAAAGCTGATGCAACACAAAACCTTACCGAACGCGCAAGCTTACTTAAAGTACAAATCTTGATAAAGAACAAAAACAGTAGAATACCGTCACTGGAACAATACCCAAATAACCTACACATTGGAGAGAGAAGCTTACGACGACGATTCGGTCAGACTTGGACCACTTATAAAGTCACACTGTGACTCTGTAAATGGTCCAAGTCGGACAGAAATGTCGTCGTAAACACCTCTCTCTCCTATGAGCTGGCTATTTATGTACAAATCTTGATGAACACATAACCTCTTCGAACGCACACAATCACAGAACGTACAAATCTCGACGAACGTATAACCATACCAAACACACAAGATCAGTCCGGTGGACTGCAACTTGACAAGAAAAAAAAAGAAAAAAGAGAACACCAATGTGGCGTGTACCAAGTTTGTTACATTTTAATCGACGTGTGGCACACACCCATTGTTCCATGCCCTCTCAAGCAGTGAACTAGCAGCTCAGAGTGTAGTAGTTCTGGAGCCCCACTGCCATGTTTATTACGAACTCAAAACAACCAGTCAAGTGAAAGCCTTCGAATTCTGCAAAAGTCTTCGACGCACTGAGCAGAACCGGTAGAATTCCACCGTCTGTGGCCGTGTCCACTGTGCTTATACTGGCTCTCACTTGTACCATTCCAAACTTGTTATACTCACTCTGTCTGTCTGTCTGTCTGTCTGTCTGTCTGTCTGTCTGTCTGTCTCTCTCTCTCTCTCTCTCTCTCTCTCTCTCTCTCTCTCTCTCTCTCTCTCTCTCTCTCTCTCTTATATTTTGTGGTGAGGGAATACACGGGTAAAGAATCGACTCCTGCTTATTTACATTACCCATCGCTTGCCCTGTTAAGTATGTTTACCTGCTGACTTATTTACGACCAGGTGCTACAGGCCATTAGACTTCCACATGTGTTTGTAATAACCAATAATGACTGGTAAAGAATAAAGAAAGGCGAAGTTAACAGAAGAACGCAACGCCTCAATGAGAGACCACACACACACACACACACACACACACACACACACACACACACACACACACACACACACACACACACACACACACACACACAAGTCGCTAAAATATAAGGAGAATCATTTTTCAACTCGTATCTTGGAACGACTCTCCTGAGTTCCCTCATTGCGGGATACCCTCATGATGGAAAGGAGATCTTGATCCAAGGAATTAGAGCTTAATATAATTGGCAAACGGAAATATACACAGCTGGATGAGTCATTCTCCAGTTATGTCACTGATTCCAACGATTCAATTTTTTTTTTTTTTCCAATTTTAATACATCAATAAGTTTGCCAGCACGCAAACGAAGCTTAACAGGTACGATCCCGGCACTAAGACGCATCAGCCACTAAATAATGGAGTTGTTCAGAAGTGGTAAATTAAAAATTCACAATTGCGATTTAACGGGAATAAAAAATTCACACTATTTTACACACAAAATCGTCAGATCTGTTGCTGCTCCGTTGAATTTTATTCTCCACCGACGTCGAATTTTTGAGCGTCATTTTTCAACGTTTGAAGTTACGTTTCTGAAAGTTTTGGAAGTTATCCGATCCATTTGAAGATTCTGTCTTCAAGAAGGAATTAGACAGGCACCTAAGGTCAGTACCTGACCAACCGGGCTGTGGTTCGTACGTCAGTTTGCGTGCGACTAGCATTAACAGCCTGGTTGATCAGACCCTGATCCACCATGAGGCCTGGTCTCAGATCGAGCAGCGGGGGCGTTGACCCCTGGGAACGGAATCAAAAAGTTTGGTCATTGGCTACATTAACATCATTTCTATCAAGAATTTGATCCCCGTTGCTATACACAAGTGTCGTAAATTTGAAGGAAATTTGATGAGTCGTTGTTTCGTTATGAGCAAAATAAAATCGAAAAATTAGAAAAAGAAAACAGAAAAGGGAAAAGAAAGAAGAAAAAGGCACAATACCGTAACTGGAACAATACACAAATAACCTGCACATGGAAGAGAGGAGCTTACCACGACGTTTCGGTCCGATTTGGACCATTTACAAAGTGTGTGATAAATGGTTTAAAACAAACCGACAAGTTGAAGACTGAGACACTTATACAATATATGTAATCTTTATTGGCCCTCTGCTGCACTTTCTACAACATTGATGGACTGAACACATCGACTCCAGGCTGAGGGATTGATTACCTCAAACTCCTCCTCTCCTTACACCCTTCTGATTTGTATTGGACTGATGAAGCCACTGTGTGGCGTAACGTTTACTCAATAAAGATTCCCATATGTTGCATAAGTGTCTCATTTACAGTCACACTGGAAAGGAATTCAGGCAGCCTCTTAAAGATCCCCCTTGAGGGACACCTGTAATACCTCCTCTGAGCAACTGCAAAATTTCATCACTCTTGTATCCTACTTACAAGGTTGGTGTTCATTTTTCCACTATAATCTACCTTGAACCATTGAACCAGCACAGGTTAGCCAGAGATCACTGCAGCCGGCAATGGCTTCAGGTTGTGTATGCCGCTTTCAACTGCAAAATTTCATCACTCTTGTATCCTACTTACAAGGTTGGTGTTATTAAGAGGCAGGTAAGTTACCCCGTCTTCTAATAACATGTTCATTTTTCCACTATAATCTACCTTGTCCATAATTACCATTACATTAATTTGTTTCGTAAGGTGAAGTCCAGGATCTTTCCTTAATTACTTAATTACAACACAACTGTCATTAAAGATTCGTTAAGATATACCATGAATTAAGGAAAGATCTTGGACTTCACGAGGTTGATTATAGTGGAAAAATGAACATGTCTGATAGAATGTCTTCAAAAGAAGCTTCGCCTTGATTTTAGGTTGTGTAAGTTTAGATATGTTAACTTTATTAATCAAATTGGCTTCTCTAAAATAAATCGAAACCATCACTTCTGATACGAAATAAATCGCAGTGTTTGACCTTATTGTTTTATCCTACGTTAAATTTACATAATATTCAATAAACCTTACTTAATTACTTACTCACATGCATACTTTCTTAAATCTTAAATGCTGGTCAATGTTGCTTAGAAAAAAATTTGGATTTATTTTGGCCTGTGTCTCAGTTTGCTTTCTTTTATTGAGGAAAATGGGAAAAAATTGAATTATTGATTTTCATATGTTAATTTCTGAGTGCCTCTTTTATTTACCTTCATCCTTTAACGCTGATAATTTGATAATGTAAATTCTGGTCGGCTTTAAACTTAATGTGCTTGAGTATTTTAGGATACTGACTCCCCTGGAAAACAAGAGATTCCCTCTTGAGTTGCCTTTCAGAGGTGGTGTTTCTTAGAGGAAGGTTGAATTAGTTCTGGGCTGTATATGGGATATCAATGTCCACTTGATAACATGTAAACACTGAATCTTATTTGCCTCATATATTCATCTCTAATTCTTAGCTGAATTAAGAACATACGCAGAACATCTGCTTCAATCTTCTCGCGTGCATTGACGTGCAAGACCCCGAGGTTATTCAATACCTTTATCGGAGAACACAATGACTCAAATACATCTAGTTGTATTAAGACCCTCGAGCACGTCACACTAGTGGTAATACAATGTACAACGTCTCCTATACACTCTTTTCAGAACTATGGCATACAATCCACAATACACCATAACACTATCTCTAGACAATCATCACTATCTCTCACAACTCACAATACAATATACACCATCTCCTGTAGTATAAAATATACAGCAATTTATGACATTCTAAAATATTAGGTCGATAAATATTTTTATAGCAAATTTATTGACTGTTAAGTAAACTTCCCTTCCCTGTGTTCACCTTCCCTGTGTTCACCTTCCCTGTGTTCACCTTCCCTGTGTTCACCTTCCATGTGTTCACCTTCCCTGTGTTCACCTTCCCTGTGTTCACCTTCCCTGTGTTCACCTTCCCTGTGTTCACCTTCCCTGTGTTCACCTTCCCTGTGTTCACCTTCCCTGTGTTCACCTTCCCTGTGTTCACCTTCCCTGTGTTCACCTTCCCTGTGTTCACCTTCCCTGTGTTCACCTTCCCTGTGTTCACCTTCCCTGTGTTCACCTTCCCTGTGTTCACCTTCCCTGTGTTCACCATCCCTGTGTTCACCTTCCCTGTGTTCACCTTCCCTATGTTCACCTTCCCTGTGTTCACCTTGCCTGTGTTCACCTTCCCTGTGTTCACCTTCCCTGTGTTCACCTTCCCTGTGTTCACCTTCCCTGTGTTCACCTTCCCTGTGTTCACCTTCCCTGTGTTCACCTTCCCTGTGTTCACCTTCCCTGTGTTCA